ACTTATTCAAAATATGATTATGAAAGCCATATAGATGAGTTTTAATAAACAATGCTCCTTCTTTTTTTTTTATAGCAATGGCTCATGTAAAAGTTTACCTATGAATATCTCTCCGTTAAATTCATGCAAGGAAAATAAACGAAAAGAAATCGATAATGTTGCTTCTTTCACAGAATATAAAACCATCGTACAATAAAAGTTCATTTTCAGGGTTAAGATTTTCCAAGCATAGTAGAAAGTTACTTTGCGTGCTGACCTTAAAAAAATGGTATCAAATATTAAATAGATTGATTTATCGTTAACTCTTAGTTTTCTTTTAAACGAATGAAATTCGTTCTCATACACAGGATCTTGCAGAGCACAACTTGCTCATTTCCTATACTCTTGCCTTACACTAAGATTTCCGAATTTTCGCAAATGTGTTTATTGTATTTCGCATCTTTAGTAGATTTTCAATATTACTCAAATACAAAATCATGACATATTTAATACTTTTTGGAATGAAGTCACTCACGAATGAACTCGTTGAAATGTTTAAGCGTTTTTTTTCCAATCATCGTCACTGTAGTGTTCTGGAACCAAGTCAGATATCAGATATGAAAAAACTAGTGTCAATCCTGCTCCGGTTGCAAAAATTCATACCCATACATGGCAATAAATATAGAGTTCCGTAATCACGAACAATTATATTTTGATCAAAAATGTAGAGGAAATCTTGATTTTTTCTTCTAAAACTCATGGCCTGGTTTGAAAGAAAATTTTTATCACTCATTACTGAAAACATAATATGTCGTTTTACCAAACGACTCAAATATGCATTTGTTAGAAAAAATTCCAACAAACGATTCGCTATCCTATGATAAATACCTCACCTTCAATAAATTTTTTTCTAGAAAGTCGTAATACATCAATAGACGTAAATAAAGCACGTGCAAAAATATTTGCTCATCTTATTTCAATGCCAGTTCAACTTAAATATCTTCTTATTGAAAAACTTGAATGGCTTTATCATATTGTTCAATACGTAAGTATTTATTATATTTGTCGGCTTACATTGAATTTCAGAAAAAAATTTTCTTTAAACTAATAGTGAAAACATACAAATAAACGAACTTCTTTGCTTTTATCTTCTACATAACATAATGTAATATTGTTTTCAGATATTAAAATGAAATAACAACTTGTTTGAAATAAACGGGTAAACAAAAATAACCATTATATTTCAGTAAAGATTTCCATATATAATATAAAGAATAAAGAAAACTATTCAATACTTTTAATCCATATATTAATTATTCATTTCAATATTAATGTTAAATTTATTAAACTAATTAGTCTCAAAATATTTCTAATTTTCTATTATGTATGTATACATTTTTTTCCTTGTATTTTTAGGCATCAACTGAATTAAAAACAAACGCATTGAATTCTGTTCGATGTGCTGAATTTGGTGTTCCTAGTTGCCATTATGGTTCTAACGATTCGATTCATATTGGAAAAAATCTGGTATCTTTCCTCAGTACTCATATGCCTCATCTACAAACATTACATCTTTGGCGACCAGATGATTTTCCTTGGACATCTAGTAAGTTTATTTTAGATAAAAGTTGGATGTGTACCGGATAAACTTTTTTCCGCACCTTGATACTATCCTATTAGAGAGCTGCGGTCCACAATAATGTGGAATCGACTTAACAAAAATTGAAATGTTGGATTTATACTTGGTCAGATTCGGATAGGATTCGACTAGCTCTTACTACAACACTATGTAATATCTGTAGACAACAATTTTTTGGGTTCCAAGGAGGGAAGCCATCTGAGACGGTTCCCTCGTGAGCTACTTAGTTTTTTTTTAATTTTCTGACAGAGAAAATATTCAACAGTTTTCAACTCAATTTTCGACATTTTTACCTTCGATAAAGTTTGAGTTAATCGGTTTGATCTATATACAGTTATCGATATGATCAAAACTTTAATAACTATTGTTGTTCAGAACTATGAACATAGTTCATATATTTATGCAGTATACAAAAACCTTACATTTTCGTTTTTCGACTTATTAATTTAACAAAATGATACACCTTTAAGCCTTCTCTTTTCAGCTTTATTATTATCAATCATGACTAAGAAATAATTTTCTTACAACCATAAATGAAAATTATTGTTTGCTTTTAGTTCGACCAGATATTAAGCCAGGATACTTTCATTACATTGATACTTCACGATGGACAGAGTCTTTACAAACATCTGAATCGATTGGTACGTAAATAAGAATAATAAATGGGGATTAAAAAAAGTGATCTTTTTTGTTTAGCTCAACATGTAAATGTTTTTGAACAAGATCTTTGTCAATTATTTCAACGATTGAAACAATTTGTTTTTCTTGATATTCATGGAAAAATCGATCTTGGAAAACTCGCACCATATCGTTCTATGGTTCAAAAATGTTTTCCTCATAGTAGACTTGACATAGAATTATCAAGATTTCGTCTTTGGATATAATTTCCTAGATTCAATATA